TTCATTTCTGCAGCCCAACAAAGAATTTCTCACTTCACCCACTCTGCACATGGAAAGGGAGGGGAAACCTTTGGTAGGTGGAAGTAGCTTGCAACCTGCCAGCTTCCCCAATGACTTTCTGGAGAAGCCGGCAGAGAATATTGCAAATGGTGATTATATGATTGCAGGGCACTTTGCAAAAAGTATCCTACAAATAGGTTGCTAAGCCCCCAGATCATGATCATGAGACGGAAGCTGGACTGATGCAATATTTTATGATGGCCAGAAGTATTTTACAGAGTGTAAAGCATTCTTTCAAAGCCATTATATCTTCAAACTGTCATCAAACAACCAGTTATAAATTGAAGACTACCAAGGCTTTAAGCTAGACATGAAAGTAAAAAAAAAAAGTCAAGTAAGAAGTTGTGCAAGTGCAAATCACTTCCATAGAGCCAAACAAATCACAAGGATGTGTATGATGTACACATTTCACCAGGTTCAAATCATGGCAGTTTTTACCTTTAATCTAGTTCAGAAGTGAGATGAAAAGATGAAAAAGGATTATAGCATTCCAATGCAGGAACAAAACCCACCCTAATTTTTTAATTTGTGATTCTTTTGTTTATATACATGGCAAAGTTGCAGTTGCCCAACTGGTGCAAATACAGACTCTGGGCTTATGTGAAGCCTGATTGGGTCTATTCCCCAAAATTCACTATCAGTTTATTGCTTATCAGGCACCACAGCTGGATTCAAGCAAATAATGAACAAGCACTACTGCTCATTTTTTTTCCTGCAGCTCTAACCGTGACCGGAATACATTACCCAAGAAGGGGCTGAGGTAATTGTTATTTGTGTTACCTATTATTTATTATCCGTAAAATGGTAAAAAAATGTCTAGCTTCCTGTACTTATGAGAAAAGATCAAAGAAAATGTGAACTTACCTCATGCCACTACTGTATAACTATGAGCCAGTTGCATAGTCATGACTTAAGCAGCAAACAAGATATTCTACGGCACTGGAAAGTCAGAAGGCCATAGCAAATCAATTCACTAAGGTAATTTATAATTATAGTCCACTCTTTTTCAGTTCAAATTATAAAATATTGGAGGTCTGGTTACAGCCTTGACTTCTTGACTCTGCTCTTGATCATATCTGATATAGCAATTCCAATTGTAATTCCAATATAGATTACATCAAGTTTCATTGAAATCAATTTAGACATAATTAGCAACTCTCATGGATTTCAGTGGATCGATTCTGATTATTTCTCTGACCATATGTCTTTTTCTGAAAGCTACAATTGAAATGTAATTGTATTATTGAAAAAGTTTTTTTATTTTTTTAAAAGTGAATGAGCAAGACTTTTTTTTAAGCTAAAACTTC